CTCCTCTCGGCGAGCGAGGAAACCCCCCATTGCCAATTTTGTTTTCTATATACATTTTTTATTTTCCCTATGCCCGGGTATCCCGGGCGTCACGCCCAGGTGACTGGCCGGTCATGGAAATCTTCCTCGATTTATTTTTATTTTTATTTTTTTTGGTAAAGAATTTCGATGTGACCCTGTAGCAAAAGTATTTTGCCAAATCAAAGCATAAATTATAGCTAATTCTAATTATTCTATCACACCATAAATAGGTAAAACTCACAAACATTGAAACCAAATGTCTGGAGGAGTTACAAAAGCTGCTATTAAGACTGAGAAAAAGAGAAAAGAACCACAATTTTTTATACAGGTATTTACTGAAATATGTTTTGTTCGCCATAGCCATTTCTTTCGTACAAGAAGTTCTCAGAATTATCTTAGAATCTATTTATGAAACCCGCCTTTTCATTTATTCACATGGCTTCAGACCGGGACGTGGTGCGAGGAAATGAGTTTTTTTTTTTTTTTTTTTGAAAACTAAAATTCGAGTTTTACTCATCTACATGGGAGTGTTGTACAATGTTCAGTGGAACAAATACAAGACTTTGACATGTTTCTTTTGCCATTTTCTGAATTATTCGATTTTTTTGTGGATTAGTATTTACAAATAATATATCACCATTTCAACGAATTATATAGTCAAGGAAATTACAAGCTCTTCGCAATACAGTGCGAGCCTGCTGAAGTTTACAGAGTTGCAGAAAAAAACACGGCCCGGATCTTATCTTCACTGGTGATGTGTTTGATGGAGTGGAAAGAAAGGTATACAAGGGGTGTCTTTGCTTTGGATGGATGCCTTAGTGCATAACATCGTTTTTTTTTTTGTTTTTTTTTTTTTGGGGAGGGCTGGGATCTTCCAAGGTCCTTGCACGGCCGGGTCACCCGGGAAAACAAGGGCCCCCGTCTGGTAGGGGCTACCCACTTTTACAAAAACGGGATCAGGCTTAACTTGACACCAACTTAACAGCTATGTGCTTCTGTTACGAGATGCCACAGCAGAAAGAGAACCTTTACAGCATGAAAGCTTACACATCCATTGGCACGGACTCTCTGCAAGGATGACACATATTAAAGTTAATTAACCCCCCCCCCCCCCCCCCCAAAAAAAAAAGAAAAAAGAAAAAAGAAAAAAACAGCATGAAAACTGGCATGGAAGGGATTGGAAACCCGATCTTACATGAGAAGAAGTCGAAGTTTGGGAAGATTCGGTGACTTTTTCCGCTTCTCCAGGAGGTCTTTGAGAATCACGAGCAAAAAGTCCCCCTGCAAACATAGTCCAGAAGGACCAGAACACAGGAATGCTGAAATTTCTGAGAAGAGAGATAGTGTCACATGAATGTATCACTGCAAGATTACATTTCTGAGATGATATATAGTGTCTTAATTAGGTGAACTGTGAACCGTGAAAGTGCTCAATGAAAAACCTGAAATTTTCATATTTTCCTTTTTTTCCCCCCGATTATCCCCCGATATATTTTTGAAACGATTTTCACCTTTTGCAGTAGCAGATGCAGATCCCAGGGCTTGATCCCCAGACCTCACCTCACCCGTGTACAGTACCCCTGTGTGTTTGAACATGTGACTTGCGTTTTAGGAGTCAGTTGTTGTCTGTCGTAGGTCGATGTAGCAGTCGGGTCTTGAACTGTAGGTCTGTCAAGTAGGGGCCATAGTTGTGTAGAGCCATGGCTGTAGTAATTCTGAAAGGTCAAGGTCGTAGCCTGCTACAGTTTTGAAAGGTCAAGGTCGTAGCTGCCACAGTTCCTGAAGGCCAAGTCCACAGGCTTCCGGAAGGTCCGGAAGTGGCCTTTCGAACGTTGTTCACAGTAGACCAGAGGCAAGTGGGCAAGTGGTGAGTCCAACCTTACTTAGTCAGTGGTACCCAGTCCCAGTCTCACTTAGTCCAGTCAGCAAGTACCATGTGGGACTGTGTGCACCAAGGGCCCGGTGGAAAGGGGGCAGACCAGCGACCAACAGAAGTATAAATCAAGAGGCAGCGTCCAGCCATTCATTCATTCTGCTGCGAGCAAAGCGGAAGCGCTGCCAGTGCGTCGTGTGCGAGGTGGCCTGCTGACACGGTTTTCACCTCTTTGCAGTAGCAGACGCAGATCCCAGGGTTCGATCCCTAGACCTTGCCCTACCTGTGTACAGTACCTGTGTAGACCCCGAGAGTTGAACCTGTGAACTGTGTATTCGTAAACAGTTGGTAGGCTGTCATAGGTCCGTAGGTAGCAGGGGTTCGATCTGTAGACCTGTAGAATAGAAGTCTTAGCGAGTTCCAGAAGTCTTAGCTGTAGCCCTTCTAGAAGGTCAGCAAGTGGGCAAGTGGGCAAGTGGTGAGTCAGGTGGTGGACTAACTGCAGTGCAATTGCAGTATGACCTCGGTAGGTTAGCAGTGAGTCCCCACTCAGTCAGAGGTAAGGTCCAGTAAGTCCCAGTCCGGTTCAGCAAGTACCACAAGGGACTGTGAGCACCATGGGCCGATGGCAAAGGGCAGACCAACGAGTTTCAGAAGTATAAATCGAGAGGCAGCGCCCAGCCATTCATTCATTCCTGCGTGAGCCATGCGGAAGCGCTGCCACAGCGACTTGTGCAAGGAGGTCTGCAGTGAGCCCGGAGCTGAAGTGGGCGAGAGGGAAGGAGCGTAGCATAGCGATAGGGTAGTTGCGGCCATAGCCGCCATAGCTGTAGTGAGTGTTCAGTGTGTGTGTGTGTGTGAGTTCAGAGAGTAGCATGTGGGATATCCAGGGTAATCCGGTGTATGTGAACAGTGAGTTGTTTGGGCGCTGAGTCGCCATAGCCAAGTGAAAGTGAACTCGTATCTGGATACCATATCTCTGAGTTTTGAGTGGGCGCATGTCGCCAGTTTGCTGCGCTACTGTTTACATGCATGAAAAGTGTGAATGAAAGCGAGTCTAATTGCACTGCAGATGCCCGAGGTCGAAGTGGGCCGTGTAGAAGATAGTGCGCCATAGTTAGTAGTAGCCGGCGGCCATAGCTGCCATAGCTATCACTAGGTGTTAAGGTGTGTGTGTGTGCGTGTGTGAAACAGGGAGGCGCGTGGGATATTCAGGGTGATCCGGAGCTAAGTGAGTGTGAACGGGTTGTGGACACATTGTCGGATGTGAGAAGTGGAGGCGCCTAGGCGCCATAGCCAGTTTGCAGCGAGTTTGTATCTGGACTGTGTTCTTGGTCTTCATATCTCTGAGCTTTGTGTGGGCGCCTGGCGCCAGTTTGGATTTTGCATGCATGTGAAGTGAAGAAGAAACCGAGTCTGATTTCTTTAATATCGGAGCTGGTTCCCATTGTTTCACGCGCCATCGTCGTTTAGCAGTGCGCCATAAGTGGGCGCCATAGTTGAAGCTGCGTCATCAAGAAAAGGAGGTCCGCCATAGCTGTGCCACGGAAGAAGATATCGCGCACGTGCAAAGAAACAACGACGAAGAGAGAGAGAGAGAGAGAGAGAGAGAGAGAGAGAGAGA